ATTATTATTATCATTGAAAATATACTTATGTTCTATATACTCTCCTGTATATATGGTATATTCCACAATTTAAAAACCACCGCGGCTGGGCTGGGTAGCTCACCCCTGTAATCCCAGCACTTTGGGAGGCTGAGGCGGGCGGATCACTTGAGGTCAGGAGTTTGAGACCAGCCTGGCCAACATGGTGAAAGCCCGTCTCTACTAAAAATGCAAAAATTAGCCAGGCGTGGTGGTGCCTGCTTGTAATCCCAGCTACTCGGGAGGCTGAGGCAGGAGAATGGCTTGGACCTGGGAGGCAGTGGTTGCAGTGAGCCGAAATCACACCACCATACTCCAGCCTGGGCAACAGAGCGAGACTCTGTTTCAAAAAAAAAAAAAAAAAAGAAAGAAAGAAATAAAATGGTCACGCTGGTAGCTCATCCCTATAATCCCAGCACTTTGAGAAGCTGGGGTGGGAGGACTGCTTGAGCCCAGGAGTTCAAGACCAGCTTTGGCAACATAGTGAGACCCTGCCTCCATTATTAAATTTTTTTTAAATTTAAAAACAAACCAAAACAAATGAACAAAATGGCATGCAGCATTTAAAAAGAGTAGCATAGGCCAGGCGTGGTGGCTCATGCCTGTAACCCCAGCACTTTGGGAGGCCAAGGCGGGCAGATCACGAGGTCAGGAGATCAAGACCATCCTGGCTAACACGGTGAAACCCCATCTCTACTAAAAATACAAAAAATTGGCCAGGCATGGTGGCGGGCACCTGTAGTCCCAGCTACTCGGGAGGCTGAGGCAGGAGAATGGCGTTAACCCACGAGGCGGAGCTTGCAGTGAGCCAAGGCACTCCAGCCTGGGCGACAGAGCGAGACTCCGTCTCAAAAAAAAAAAAAAAAGAGTAGCATAGTGTGCAGGCACAATAATTTTAAAGCTAGAAGAGGCCTTGGAGGCCATTTTGTCCAACCACCTCATTACAGAAATCGAAATAGAGGCCAAGAGAAGACAAGTGCCTTGTTCAAATTCATTTAGTCCATTAAAGAGCCTAGGGTAGGCCTCCTGGCTTCCTGTCAAGTGCTCCTTCTGCAGACCCATCCTGATTCATCCATTTGGTCCTAGTTCCTATTCTCTTCCAACATCATATCTCTAAACTGCTTATGTCGGCCGGGCGCGGTGGCTCACGCCTGTAATCCCAGCACTTTGGGAGGCTGAGGCGGGCAGATCACGAGGTCAGGAGATCGAGACCATCCTGGCTAACATGGTGAAACCCTGTCTCTACTAAAAATACAAAAAATTAGCTGAGCGTGGTGGCAGGCGCCTGTAGTCCCAGCTACTCGGGAGGCTGAGGCAGGAGAATGGCATGAACCTGGGAAGCGGAGCTTGCAGTGAGCCAAGGTTGTACCACTGCACTCCAGCCTGGGCGACAGAGTGCGGCTCCATCTCAAAAAACAAAAATAAAAACAAAATAAACTACATATGTCATAAAACTCATAACTTTTTTCCTGGCAAATTTGATGTTTTTTGTTTTTGTGTGTGTGTGGGGGGAAAGGAGATCAGAAGAGATATACTCTGCTCCACTGATATTCCAAATGCTTAGAAAGTCAGTCAAAATATCTAGCAGTAGAGAAACAGTTTATTAGGAATAATAGAAACATGGATCTACTTGTCTACTCTTGGATTTTTTTGGGAGGGAGGTGGGGGATGGAGTCTCGCGCTGTCACCCAGGCTGGAGTGCAATGGCACAATCTCGGCTCACTGCAACCTCCGCCTCCCGGGTTCAAGAGATTCTCCTGCCTCAGCTTCCCAAGTAGCTGGGACTATAGGCATGTGCCACCATGCCAGATAATTTTTGTATTTTTAGTAAAGATGGGGTTTCACCATGTTGGCTGGTCTTGAACTCCTGACCTCGTGATCCACCTGATTCAGCCTCCCAAAGTGCTGGGATTATCAGCGTGAGCCACAGTGCCCATAATCTTCCACCTCACTGTCCCCAACAGTATGGTCTACTCCAATATGCATGCTGACCTTTTTTTTTTTTTTTTTTTTTAGATGGAGTCTTGCTCTGTCGCTCAGGATGGAGTGCAGTGGCGTGCTGTCAGCTCAGCACAACCTCTGCTTCCCGAGTTCAAACGATTCTCCTGCCTCAGCCTCCCAAGTAGCTGGGATTAGAGACATCCGATACCACTCCTGGCTAATTTTGTATTTTTAGTAGAAACAAGGTTTCACCATGTTAGTCAAGCTGGTCTCGAACTCCTGACCTCAAGTGATCCAACCGCCTCGGCCTCCCAACATGTTGGGATTACAGGTGTGAACTACCACACCTGGCCCAGGCTGACTTTAGAGTCTTTAAATTACAAAATAAAAGGGTAGGGTCTGAGAGGTGATCAAAGAAAACTCTTAGACTTCATCTTTGGCCAAGCACAAGGTCTCTTTTGGGAAAAGTGATCTTTTGCCACCTTGTGACACTGAATGAGAAGAGCAAGCCCTCAGATCAGTTCCTACTCCTGCTCCAAGGTGGCAGCATTGTACCGTGGCATCGAGGAAGTAATGTACAGAGTTTCAAACAGAGCAACAGGAGGGAAGGTGATAATACCTCACAGGAGCAGAGAATCATGTCATCATGTTAAGGAAATAGTAAGCAAAAATCACAAAACCCAAGGAAGGCAATGAAGCCCCTCTGCCCTAACCACCTCCTCTGCTAAGAGAAGCAGGCAGTTGGGGGCAAGAGGGTAGGGAGGACGAATAAAGACTTGCTCGGACCAATAAAGATGTGAGGCATTTATGTTCCCTCTAGTCAGTGGTCTCATTTCTCTGCTTTCTTTCTCACAGCAAAACTTTTTGAAAAAGTTATCTAGGCCGGGTGCAGTGGCTCACACCTGTAATCCCAGCACTTTGGGAGGCCAAGGTGGGCAGATTGCTGGAGCTCAGGAGTTTGAGACCAGTCTGGGCAACACAGTGAGACCCTGTCTCTACAAAAAATAACCCCATCTCTAAAACAAAACAAGAACAAAGAAGCTCTAGAGTTTGATGAAGACAGAGTAGATCTTCATTCTCTCTCTCTCTCTTTTTTTTTTTTTAAGACGGATTTTCACTCTTGTTACCCAGGCTAGAGTGCAATGGCACAATCTCAGCTCACCACAATCTCCACCTCCCAGGTTCAAGCGATCCTTCTACCTCAGTCTCCCAAGTAGCTGGGATCACAAACATGCACCACCACGCCCAGCTAATTTTTGTATTTTTAGTAGAGACAGGGTTTCTCCATGTTGGTCAGGCTGATCTCGAACTCCCAACCTCAGGTGATCCACCTACCTTAGCCTCCCAAAATGCTGAGATTACAGGCGTGAGCCACCGCACCCGGCCCTTCATTCTCTTTTATGCTCCATCTATCTACGCCATCACAAAGTCTACAGATTATTTATTTATTTATTTATTTTTGAGACGGAGTCTCGCTGTGTCACCCAGGCTGAAGTGCAGGGGCGCGATCTCGGCTCACTGCAAGCTCCGCCTCCCGGGTTTACGCCATTCTCCTGCCTCAGCCTCCGAGTAGCTGGGACTACAGGCGCCCGCCACCACTCCCGGCTAGTTTTTTGTATTTTTAGTAGAGACGGGGTTTCACCATGTTAGCCAGGATGGTCTCGATCTCCTGACCTCGTGATCCACCTGCCTCGGCCTCCCAAAGTGCTGGGATTACAGGCGTGAGCCACCGCGCCCGGCCAAGTCTACAGATTATTACTGTGGATACTAAATAATACAAATTTGGAAAAATCTTCAACAACAGTTATCTGTCTAGGAAAATTTTCCCAAGCCAAAGACGGTACCACTCACCTACTGTATTTAGCTCTTCCTCACAACCTCTCAGCCCAATGGTCATCAGAATGTTGTTCATCAATACTAACTTCACTATTCAGGAATGTGAAGATGTGCAAAACTCAACAGGTATGTCTGTGCTAATGTGAGTTTATGTATATAACTGTGGATGAATTCCAGAGATCATATGGTTCAGGGCCGGCCGGGGTGGCTCACGGCTGTAATCCCAGCACTTTGGGAGGCCAATGGGGGCAGATCACTTGAGGTCAGGAGTTCGAGACCAGTCTGGCCAACATGGTGAAACCTGTCTCTACTAAAAATATAAAAATTAGCCCGTATGGTGGCACACACGTGTAATCCCAGCTATTCAGGAGACTGAGGCAGGAGAATCACTCAAACCCAGGATACGAAGGTTGCAGTGAGCCAAGATCGTGCCATTGCACTCCAGCCTGGGCAACAGAACGAGACTCCACTTCAAAAAAAAACACAGCCAGGCGCAGTGGCTCATGCCTGTAATCCCAGCACTTTAGAAGGCTGAGGCAGGTGGATCAGGAGGTCAGGAGATTAAGACCATCCTGTCTAACACGGTGAAATCCTGTCTCTACTAAAAATACAAAAAAATTAGCCAGGCATGGTGGTAGGTGCCTATAGTCCCAGCTACTTGGGAGGCTGAGGCAGGAGAATGGCGTGAACCTGGGAGACAGAGCTTGCAGTGAGCCGAGATCGTGCCACTGCACTCCAGCCTGGGCGACTGAGCAAGACTCTGTCTCAAAAAAAAAAAAAAAAGAAAGAAAAAGAAAAAAAAAAAGAGATGATATGGTTCAGGACTCTCAAATTTCTAGAGGAGAACATTTATATCCCAAGAAGTCAAGTAATTTTCTCAAGGTGATAGTTAATAACAGGGCCTGTACTAGAACTCAGTTGTACTGACTCCTAGTCCTAGTTTCCTGCTCTGTTCTAGAAATTATATTCCTTACTAGAAATCTCCACATATTTTCATGAAAGTATATAAATCTCTGTGCCTGTATCAGTGAGCATGCATGTAAATGTCTACGTGTCTATCTGCAAGTATTTGTAAAGCATATCAATGGGCGTTTATGGCCTTCCTGCTTGAGAAACCTCTAGGTAATCCAGTTCTCTATGTCAGCACCGGCAGCGAAGTCAGAGCTCTGAGTGAATTATTAACAAGCAGAATTAGCCCTTTCTCCAATTAGCTCTATTCCTGGGTCTTCAGAAACTGGGGCAAAATAATCAGGGTGGAATCAGAGTCTCTCAGGGTCAAACTTGGTTCCAGCTGCGTGCAGTGAAAGCAACTAGAGGCAGAGCTATCAAGGGCTGTGACAGATGAGCAGTGGTCTGTCTGCAATGAGCATGTGCTCAAGCTAACATGGATACCATCTTGGTCTTCAGTCTAATCATTGCATCCTATGATGCCAACAAGAAAGGTAAGTAATTCTCTAGCCTAATCTCCTGGAAAATACAGAGAGAGGCCTAGAAAGAGTTTGGGGGTCTCTTCCACCAGATAGAGATGTAGCTGATATCCAGCAAGCAATACTATCCAGAGGTAATCCTGTGTTATCCACTCGCCTCTAAGGACTGCAGCTTATTCATTCCAGAGAGATAGCTGTCTGTTTCATGATGAGAGGTCTTAAGAGAATGTGATCCATTCTTATATCTTGTTCATGTAATTAACATTAAAAGTTCTTTCACTGTTGGATGGCTTTCTTTAGAGTTTCCGTGTTGTTACCACCCAAGATTCCCAAATTCATAACTTGTTGCCTTTTTTAAGTTGGTACATGTAAATAACTAGATGGTGATATTCTTGGGTGGGGAGAGCTGAGGGAAAGCGTGGTGTTGGGTGGAATGGCATCATTTGCTGCTCTTTGGTAACTGCTTATTTAAAACATGACTTTTCAAAGTTTCGTAAACATTTCATCTCTAAAATTAGCTAATCAAGGCTGGGCGCGGTGGCTCATGCCTGTAATCCCAGCACTCTGGGAGGCTGAGATTGGCGGATCACTTGAGGCCAGGAGTTCAAGACCAGCCTGGTCAACATGGCGAAATCCTATCTCTACTAAAAGTGCAAAAATTAGCCAGGCATGGTGGCATGCACCTGTAATCTCAGCTACTCGGGTGGCTGAGGCACAGGAATCACTTGAACCTGGGAGGTAAGGTTGCAGTGAGCTAAGCTCGTACCTCTGCACTCCAGCCTAGGTAACAGAATGAGACTCTGTCTCAAAAAAATAAAAAATTAAAAAAATAAAATAAAATTAGCTAATCAGAATTCAGACCAAATGGGCAGCAGTAACAAATTTGACAAATTATAAAAATGTCACAACCCTTTGAATTATGTGCCAAAAAGCATAAATAACTAAGACCTATGGTTCTGTGGAAACCTATAGAGATACCAAGGTCAGACAATATAAATATCCAAAAGCTTTATTTAATACAAGAAAGCAGATAGAATAGGAGGGAGAAGAGAAAATAAGCAGTGTTTAAGGAAATGGGTTGGTTAGTCTTTCATTAACTTAGCAAGTTTTCTTAACTCTATTTCACCTTTCTTTGTCCTAAGGGTAATAGATTGGTACTCAGTATTCTTTATACTAGGTCAAATACTACTTTGTATGTATTTGGCTGTGTGTTCTTTTTTGAGGGCCGGGTGTGGTGGCTCACGCCTGTAATCCTAGCACTTTGGGAGGCCAAGGCAGGCAGATCACCTGACGTCAGGAGTTTGAGACCAGCATAGCCAAAATGGCGAAACCCCATCTCTACTAAAAATACAAAAATCAGCTGGGCATGGTGGTACATGCCCGTAATCCCAGCTACTCGGGAGGCCGAGGCAGAAGAATCCCTTGAACCCAGGAGGTGGAGGTTGCAATGAGCAGGGAATCATGTCACTGCACTCCATCCTGGGCGACAGAGCGAGACTCCGTCTCAATAAATAAATAAATAAAAGCAAAGTCTTTTTAGAGAGTGTTTGATCTCCCAAGTTGCAAGTTTTATGAGCAGGAACTGCATTCTTTCATATCTTCTCCTCCATTGCCCAGAGTTCTAAAAAGAAAGTACCAGTAAATTCTGATTTTCCCCAACTCTCCCCCCGTTCCCCTCCTCCCGCTCTGCTCACCCCTAGACCTGAGAGATAGCAGTTGCCAAGTGGAACAGCTGCCTGGGCTCTTCCCAAAGGACGTGAGAAGCATCAGAGAATTGCAAATGCAAGGTAGGGAATGGGTCCTTTCTGGAAAATTATATTGCCATTCCAAAAAATTTTTACCTTTAAAAGATGTCTCATCTTCCTGCTTCCTAGCCCATCTCTCAAATATCCTATTTTAAGGATATGTATCCTCCCAAGAGGCTTTCTGGAAACCAATCTTTAAATTAACTGTCATTACCTAAGGCATGCCTATATTACTTAAACGGATGGAGATGAAAAAAGAGAAGGAGGCAGCACCTACTCCTCTCTGCATTAAAGAAAATCTATGAGTATCTCTTTTTTTTTTTTTTTTTTTTGAGGCAGAGTCTCGCGCTGTCGCCCAGGCTGGAGTGCAGTGGCCTGATCTCAGCTCACTGCAAGCTCCGCCTCCCGGGTTTACGCCATTCTCCTGCCTCAGCCTCCGGAGTAGCTCGGACTACAGGCACCCGCCACCTCACCCGGCTAGTTTTTTGTATTTCTTAGTAGAGATGGGGTTTCACAGTGTTAGCCAGGATGGTCTCGATCTCCTGACCTCGTGATCTGCCCGTCTCGGCCTCCCAAAGTGCTGGGATTACAGGCTTGAGCCACCGCGCCCGGCCAAAAAAAATCTATGAGTATTTCTCTGTGCTGAATTTACTGCTGTCACCAACCTTCATGGGAACCATGGAAGGAAGAAAGGCAGGACTTGTATATTAGTACTATGAACACATACTAAAGAAGAAGTTAACTAAAAGGAGGAGAAAGTATAGCAGTGGAATTTAACAGGAGTCATGAATGGAAGTGGGTCAGCTTGGCACTATTCAGATTAAAAACCAGCTTCGGCCAGGCATGGTGGCTCATGCCTGTAATCCCAACACTTTGGGAGGCCAAGGCAGGTGGATCACTTGAGGTCAGGAGTTTGAGACCAGCCTGACCAACACAGTGAAACCCCATCTCTACTAAAGATACCAAAATTAGCTGGGTGTAGTGGTGCACGCCTGTAACCCCAGCTACCTGGGAGGCTGAGGCAGGAGAATCACTTGAACCAGGGAGGTGGAGGTTGCAGTCAGCTGAGATCACGCCATTGCACTCCAGCCTGAGCAACAAGAACAAAACTCCGAGCAACAAGAGCAAAACTCCAAGATCGTGCCATTGCACTCCAGCCAGGGCAACAAGAGCAAAAGCTCCAAGGTCGGGTGTGGTGGCTCACGTCTGTAATCCCAGCACTTTGGCCAAGGTGGGAGGATTGCTTGGGCCCAGGAGCTCGAGACCAGCCTGGGCAACACAGCAAAACCTTGTCTTTTAAAAAATTAAAAAATTAGCCGAGCATAGTGGCATACACCTGTAGTCCCACAGTCTCAGCTACTCAGGAGGCTGAGGTGGGAGGATTGTTTGGAGATTGAGGGAGTTTGAGGCTAGATTGAGCCATGATTGCACCACTGCACTCCAGGTTGGGTGACAGAGCAAGGCCCTGTCTCATAAAAAACAACCAAACAAAAAACAAAACCAGCTCCATTTTTCTGTCTGACTCTTCTCCTTCCAGAAACTCACACAGAAACCAAAAGGACAACATTCATTCAAAATCAGACTATGACTACCTTGCAGTGCCTTGGCTCTGGCAGCAAAGTAAAAGTCAACCTTGTATATTTGGAGAGAAGGCCAAAGGTCAAGCATATTCTGAAGAACCTGAGAATCATTGCTGCTCCCCATAGAAACAGCTCTGCCTCCTCAAGCTGTCACCTAATTCCCACATCCAAGTTTCAGACTGGATCTCTACTAACAGGCAAAGGTGAGATTGGAAAAGAGGAAGGGGGCAGGCACCAACTTTTAGTTGACATCCTTGAAGGAAGCTGGAGCTCAGTAGCAGGAAAAGCTATAAGGAAATGAATTATCCTCGCCGTGGGCAAATCTATGTACTCTTTGGGAGTCAGTTTTATAATCTCTAAGATCCCTTCTAGCCCTGATACGCTGTGATTTTCATGTGATCTCCATTTCTGATGGGTCTTCTTTTGACGGTTTTTTAAAATTTCTTTTTTTCTTTTTTTTTTTTTTTTTTTTTTTTTGAGATGGAGTCTCGCTGTATCGCCCAGGCTGGAGTGCAGCGGTGCAGTCTCGGCTCACTGCAACCTCTGCCTCCCAGATTCAAGTGATTCTTCTGCCTCAGCCTCTTAAGTAGCTAGGATTACAGGCGTCTGCCACCATGGCTGGCTAATTTTTGTATTTTTAGTACAGACGGGATTTCACCATGTTGGCCAGGCTGGTCTTGATTTCCTGACCTCAAGTGATCTGCCTGCCTTGGCCTCCCAAACTGCTGGGATTACAAACGTGAGCCACCGTGCCTGGCTAGTTTTTTTTTTTTTTTTTTTTCCATTTTGAATGCACACAGTAAAATATTCAAACAGCATAGATTTATAGTGAAAAGTAAATCTCTCTCCTACTCCTGTCTCTCAATTCTCCAGTTCTCTATCCCTGATGGAACCACTACTATCTACTTATTATATTTCCTTCCAGAGATACTCTGAGAATGTATGAATGTGTGTATTTTAAAAACATAAATGGTAACATACCTTATACATTGTTCTGCCCCTTGCTTTTGCTTGTTGTTGTTGTTTTGTTGTTGTTGTTTTGTTGTTGTTGTTTTGTTTTTTGTTGTTGTTGTTGTTTTCTTTGGAGATGGAGCCTCACTCTGTCACCCAGGCTGGAGTGCAGTGGCGCGATTTCGTCTCACTGCAACCTCTACCTCCCAGATTCACGTGATTCTCCTGTCTCAGCTTCCCAATTAGCTGGGATTACAGGTGCCCGCCACCACACCCAGTTAATTTTTGTATTTTTAGTAGAGACAGGGTTTCACCATGTTGGCCAGGCTAGTGTTGAACTTCTGACTTCAAGTGATTCACCCACCTCAGCCTCCCAAAGTGCTAGGATTACAAGCGTTAGCCACTGCGCCCAGCCAAGTTCCTTGCTTTTCCATTTAATAATACATCTTATAGGTCGTTCCATTTCAATATGTATATATTTACCCCATACTTTTTAAAAATATTTGCCTCATTCTTTTTTTTTTTTTTTTTTTGAGACGGAGTCTCGCTCTGTTGCCCAAGCTGGAGTGCAGTGGCGCGATCCTGGCTCACTGCAAGCTCCGCCTCCTGGGTTCACGCCATTCTCCTGCCTCAGCCTCCCGAGTAGCTGGAACTACAGGCGCCCGCCACCGCGCCCAGCTCATTTTTTGTATTTTTAGTAGAGACGGGGTTTCACCATGGTCTCGATCTCCTGACCTTGTGATCCGCCCACCTCGGCCTCCCAAAGTGCTGGGATTACAGGCGTGAGCCACCGCGCCCGGCAGCCTCATTCTTTTATGTACAAATTAATGTACAAATAATAACAGTTGTACATGATCCCATAGTATGTCTCTTCTATATTCTTTTATTTATTTATTTTTTTGAGACGGAGTCTTCCTCTGTTGCCCAGGCTGGAGTGCAGTGGTGCGATCTCGGCTCACTGCAAACTCTGCCTCCCGGGTTCATGCCATTCTCCTGCCTCAGCCTCCTGAGTAGCTGGGACTACAGGCATCCGCCACCACACCCGGTTAATTTTTTGTATTTTTGGTAGAGATGGGGTTTCACCCTGTTAGTCAGGATGGTCTTGATCTCCTGACCTCATGATCTACCTGCCTCAGCCTCCCAAAGTGCTGGGATTACAGGTATAAGCCACTGTGCCCAGCCATGTCTCTTCTATATTCTACTAGCTCCCTATTGATATATATTTTGGTTGTTTCCAATCTTTTGCAAATACAAACAATGCTGCAAACAATGACCATATAAATTCTTCTTTTTTCTTTTAATAAATTATTTTCCCTTCTTTCACTATTACTCAGGATCTATATATATTCTTCTTGTATACCTGTAATTTATCAATAAGATAAATTCCAAGAAGCAGGATTGCTGCATCAAAGGTTGACAGTTATTGCTAAATTACCCTCCCTAGAGGTTGGTTCCATTATGCATACCCACCCTGGGTGAGAATGCCTATTCCCCCACAGCTGCTAGGCAGTGGTTCTTAACCTCAGCCTGAAGTTTCTCTGCTTCAGCCCTCCTTTCCTTTTCTCACCCATTATTTTTGTCATATAGTTTTTGTTTGTTTGTTTTTTGTTTTTTTTTTAGTGTAGCCAGTTCCTCTTTATAAACTGGCAATCCCCTAGATGCTATTGCTACATTACTGGAAAATAAAATAAAACTTGACATTTTTAGAGAAATAGGGGCTCCACAAGCAGAATAATGGCAAAAACTTTAAACAGCAGACTAAAACTGGGAAATAAGTGGATAGGCTCTCAGGATGTGACTTAGGTACAGTAAATTATATATGCTAACATGACCTGAATGTTTCACTCACTTTATGATATTTTCTAAAATTCCACAGTGAAAAATCATGTGAAAAACCCCACTGCTCCCCCCTTTTTTTTTTTTGAGATGGAGTTTTGCTCTTGTCGCCCAGGCTGGAGTGCAATGACACGATCTCAACTCACTGCAACCTCCGCCTCCCAGGTTCAAGTGATTCTCCTGCCTCAGCCTCCCGAGTAGCTGGGATTACAGGCGCCCGCTACCTCACCCAGCTAATTTCTTTTTTTTTTTTTTTTTTTTTTGTATTTTTAGTAGAGATGGTGTTTCATCACGTTGGCCAGGCTGGTCTGGAACTCCTGACCTCAGGTGACCCACCTGCCTAGGCCTCCCAAAGTGCTGGGATTACAGGCATGAGCCACCATGCCCAGCCAGAAAACTCTTAAAAACTCAAAAGCATCAGGTGCGGTGGCTCACGCCTGTAATCCCAGCACTTCGGGAGGCCGAGGCAGGTGGATCACGAGGTCAAGAGATCAAGACCATCCTGGCCAACATGGTAAAACCCCATCTCTACTAAAACTACAAAAATTAGCTGGGTGTGGTGACGTGTGCCTATAGTCCCAGCTACTCGGGAGGCTGAGACAGAATAGCTTGAACCCAGGAGGTGGAGGTTGCAGTGAGCTGAGATCACGACACTGCAGTCCGGCCTGGCGACAGAGCTAGACTCTGTCTCAAAAAACAAAACAAAACAAAATTTAAAAATTAGCCGGGCATGGAGGCACGCGCCTGTAATCCCAGCTACTCGGGAGGCTGAGACAGAAAAATGACTGAACCCAGGAGGCGGAGGTTGCAGTGAACCGAGATCGAGCCACTGCATTCCAGCCTGGGCGACAGAGCGAGACACCCTCTCAAAAAATAAACAAGCTCAAAAGACTCTGCCAGGGTTTTGAACTTTCAACATTAATGCAAATTAATTAAATCAAATTGTTTCCTTCTTAACATATGACAACTTGCTGTCCATGGCAGCTGTAATGGGGAATAGTGGACTTAAGTCATTTGGGAGTTTGGAGCACTCTGGGTGGAGTGAATATAGTGCTAGGCATTGTGGGACTTGAGGCAACTAAGGACAGTAGCTCTTAGAAACTGGGACAAGGAAAACTGAGAGGTTAAGGGAGAGGAGAGATGCCAAAGATCAACCTGACCTAATTCAAAAATTTGCATTTGGCTAGCCTCCCAGAGAAAAAGAAACTCTTCCCCTTCCTTCATAACATAGTAGTTGTTTCCCACATCTAGAATTTCAGCTAATACTCTGTACTATTTGAACTATGCAAAAAGATCAAATGAATATTTGTAGATTAGTTTGGGGACCTAATCATCACTCATGATACATTTTTATGAAACCATAATGATGAATCCCGAACAACCTATTTATTTATTTGAGACAGAGTCTCGCTTTGTCCCCCAGGCTAGAGTACAGTGGTGTGATCTCGGTTCACCGCAACCTCCACCTCCCAGGTTCAAGCAATTCTCACGCCTCAGCCTCTCAAGCAGCTGGGATTACAGGCCTGCACCACTACGCCCAGCGAATTTTTTGTATTTTTAGTAGAGATGGGGTTTTGCCATGTTGGCCAGGCTGGTCTCAAGCTCCTGTCCTCAAGTGATCTGCCCACCTCAGCTCCCAAAGTGCTGGGATTACAGGCGTGAGCCACCTCACTTGGCCCAAAACAACGAATTTATGAATGAATTTTTGAAACATAATCCCTTCTACAAGTTTGAAACTTCCTATTCTGAATGTAAATCTCCACTCAGTACCAGGATGTGATAAACCTCAAACAGGGTAGAAATAAAAATTAGAGCTGGGCGTGGTGTCTCATGCCTGTAATTCCAGCACTTTGGGAGCCTGAGGCAGGGACACGAGGTCAGGAGCTCGAGACCATCCTGGCCAACATAGTGAAACACCGTCTCTACTAAAAATACAAAAATTAGCCAGGTGTGGTGGTGTGTGCCCGTTGTCCCAGACAGTCTGCACAGAAGGATGTCCTGGAAACGGTCAGAAGACAGTTCATGAAAATGTCCTCAGGTAAAATAGAAATTTGAAACTGTAAGGGTGAGAATGTTCTGCAATACAAATGGTCATCAGAAGATGTGGGTCAACATGGAATGTAGAAAAAGGTAAATGGAGACTATTTGTTATTATTTATGAAATTTGGAAAAGGAAAAGGCCGCTATTACCAATATTTCAAAATTTCCTTCTGGTGGAGAAAGAAGACTCATTAGGTCATCTTTTTCCTCCTCTTTCAATCATAATATCATTCAGCTTGCAAAGTGTTTATACACATGCTTTCTCATTTTTATTTATTTCTGATCTTCACAACACCCCTGTGAAATAGGTAGACCAAGTATTATTTTACTATTGCCATCTTACAGATTTAAAAAAACAAATCACGGAGAACTTGTGGTGACTTGTCCAAAGTGAGATTTGTTTATTTTTATCTAATCTGACACATAAACACGTAAGTTATCACTTCAAAGCACTGACTAGCACTATGCTGAAAATGTTCTTGTTTTTCCTTTTGAACCTCTTGATGTCTGTCTCTGCCAATGTCTGCCAACACTGTCTTCCTGATTAAACTGGAATCAGCATTACTTCTTCCCCTATAATTTCATATACAGTGCCTGGTACTATAGCCACTGGCCTCTGAGGTAAAGAACTATCATTTTCTCATGGACTTAAGACACGGAAGAGTAATTTAGAAAAGTCAAGTAGAATTTATAGACCTTAATTTAATATGCAATGATATGAGACCACTAAAAATAGAACAGAAACCACACTGTCTGAATTGGATTAGGTCAATTCTGGAGACGAGTGAGGTTATTTCCAGACTCCGGCTAGACTCTATCCACCTCCCATCACTTCCACTGCTGGTGTGAATCACATCATCTCTCATCTGGACTTTTGCAATGGCCTCCTAACAGGCTACCCTGCTTCTACCCTTGCCCACTGCTAACCCATTCCCAACACAGTAGCCCAGAGATCCTTTGAAAGCAAGGCCAGGCCAGGCACGGTGGCTCACGCCTGTAATCCCAGCACTTTGGGAGGCCGAGGTGGGTGTATCACTTGAGGTCAGGAGTTTAAGACCAGCCTGGCCAACATGGTGAAACCCCATCTCTACCAAAAAATACAAAAATTAGCCAGGTGTGATGGTGCGCACCTGTAGTCTCAGCTACTTGGGAGGCTGAGGCACGAGAATCACTTTAACCTGGGAGGCAGAGGTTGCAGTGATCCGAGATCATGCCACTGCACTCCAGCCTGAGTGACAGAGGGGGACCCTATCTCAAAAAAAAAAAAAAAAAAATGCTGAATGAATGAAATCAAGGAGTGCATGAAGTTGGGTGGCTTTTCCTTCTTCCAGCTCCTCCTGCTTTCCCCAGTCCCCTCTCAGAGTAGTTGATCGAGATTCTACTAGACACACTTGCAGCAGTCATTAAGGCTAACTGTGATATTTCATGTTCTTCCTTGGACTTTAGAGCCATCTCTTTTTAAAGAAGGAAACCGTCAGCAGTTTTTAACGGCCTTCATCTTTATTATTATTGTGGCCTAAATAATGATAGGCAATGATATCATTGGTATCACTCCTTCACTCTGATCCTGTGTTAGTCAAAAGTCCCATGGGCATTTAATCCATATCTCTTATTAGTATTGCTACCCTCATTTACTCTTGGCATTATTTTGTGCTCACACCCTAAACCTATGGACAGACAGGTTAATGGGACCACAATTGGAAGCTGGGTAGGGTTTTATCAGATTCAAAGGCAGGATGAAGTTTTCCCCTAAAGTTTCATCTTTTCTACTTTGTTTTATAGCTTTTTTACCAGGGATCTCACAATGTAAAGTCTATGCAGTGATGGGGGCTTCATCAGAGACTTTTTCCACCACTACCCCTTCTATAACTCCTGGGAATAAAGAAGAGAAAACTACAAGTACTGGTAATTTTTCTAGCTTTGAAATGACAAACTACAGAATAAGTAGGAGTAAAATAAGAACAGAAAAAGAAACATTTTTAGCCCCAATGTTAGTCTGGATCTACTGATATGTTTTCTTAAGGTTGAGAAGTTACTGACTGTATGTTGAAAAATCATTCAATTTTTTTATTTAAAAAAAATTAGCTTCTCTAGGCCAGGCGCTGTGGCTCATGTCTGTAATCCCAGCACTTTGGGAGGCCGAGGTGGGTGGATCACCTGAGGTCAGGGGTTCAAGACCAGCCTGACCAATATGGTGAAACCCCGTCTCTACTAAAAATACAAACATTAGCCAGACGTGGTGGCACAGGCCTGTAATCCCAGCTACACGGAAGGCTGAGGCAGGACAACTGCTTGAACCCAGGAGGCGGAGGTTGCAGTGAGCCGAGATTGTCCCACTGCACTCTAGCCTGGGCGACAGAGTGAGACTTTGTCTCAAAACAACAACAACAACAATAAAATTAGCTTCTCTATAAAGAAGGTCCCAGAAATGTTTGTAATTTGACACCATCAATGATCGTTTATCTCCACGCAAATGAGCTCACCCTGTAGCCAGAATTAGGGACAGAAAAAACTGTATTTCTGTAGTAGGTAATTCTAGCCGCTGTATGTATAGATGGACAATATTTAAACACTAAGCAATTATAAGAGTAATGACACCAACCAAGTGCTTTTCTTTCTTTTCTTTTTTTTGAGACAGGGTCTTGTGTTGCCCAGACTGAAGTGCAGTGGTGCAGATATGGCTCACTGCAGCCTCGACCTCTGGGGGTCAAGTGATCCCCCCACCCTCAGCCTCCTGAGTAGCTGTGACTACAGGTGCGTGCCACCATGTTCAGCTAATTTTTAAATTTTTGTAGAGACAGGGTCTCACCACATTGTGCAAGCTGGACTCAGACTCCTGGGCTCAAGCGATCCTACCGCCTCAGCCTCCCAAACTGCTGGGATTACAGGCATTACCCACCACGCCCATCCCCAAGAGCATGTATTTGTTTCGATATGGAGTCTCACTCAGTCACCCAGGCTGGAGTGCAGTGGTGTGATCTCGGCTCACCACAACCTCCACCTCCTGGGTTCAAGCGATTCTCCTGCCTCAGCCTCCTGAGTAGCTGAGACTACAGGCATGCACCACCATGCCCGGCTAATTTTTGTATTTTTCGCGAGACAAGGTTTCACTATGTTGGCCAGGCTGGTCTCGAACTCCTGACTTTGTGATCCGCCTGCCTCAGCCTCCCAAAGTGCTGGGATTACAGGCGTGAGCCACTGCACCCAGCCTCCAAGAGCATCTTTTCATCTTCACTGTTTTTTTGGTTTTTGTTTTTTAAGATGGAGTCTCATTCTGTACCCTAGGCTGGAGAGCAGTAGCACAGTCTCAGCTCACTACAACCTCTGCTTCCTGGATCCAATAAATTCTCCTGCCTTAGCCTCCTGAGTAGCTGGGACGACAGACACGCACCACCATGCCTGGCTAATTTTTGTATTTTTAGTAGAGATGGGTTCCACCATGTTGGCCAGGCTGGTCTCAAACTCCTGACCTCAAGTGATCCGCCCACCTCGGCCTCCCAAAGTGCTGGGATTACAGGTGTGAGCTTTCCTCACAATTTTTTTAGCAAGAATCCTCCTTAAATTGGCCAGGACTAAAATTCTGTAAGATTCCAATTTAGGTTACATCCTAGTTTCTACCAGGGGAAAAAATGTGATATTAGTAATAACAAGATGCATATTAGGACAAGGTGAGGTGGCTCACACCTGTAATTCCAGCACTTTGTGAGGCCAAGGCTGTAGGATCACTTCAGGCCAGGAGTTCAAGCTCAGTGGGAAATATAATGAGACTGTCTGTACAAAAAATTTTTAAAAATTAGCCGGGCATGGTGGCGTTCACCTGTGGTCTGAGCTACTCGGGAGGCTAAGGTGGGAGGATGGTTTGAGCCTGGGAGATTGAGGCTGACGTGAGCCGAGATTGTGCCACTGCATGCCAGTCTGAGCGACAGAATGAGAAAAAGATGCATATTAGCCATGTGCCGCCAGATTGAGCTTCTGACCCAGAAGCAGTGCTAATTTTCACATTTCTTCCTCTTATACCCCATGAAAGCCAGGAGAAACACAGGAAGGGCGATTTTCTAATCCCATAAAATGTGTCAGAGCAAAATGGTAGGAACCCTGATAAAGCTGACAATGAAAGAAGTTTAGAACTCCAGGTGTACCCAAGATTTTTCTTCCTGCAAGCAGTGTAAGAATCAGCCCTATGTGATTATGGAAAATCCCCAATTCCAGGGAAGGTGACTCACTGGGAAGAGGGTGCAAAAGAAGTTAGAGCAGAGCCCATGATGCTCAGCTCACCCCCACTCCCTCCAACCCTGAGTTTGAATTGGAAATTCTGCCTCTGCCTCTGGGTCTGGCTGGGCCTCTAATAGTCTTGTGAGCCAGAATAACTTCAGGTCAAAGGGTCAATCTCTTCCCTCTCTCAAATTTTCTTTTCTCCCTCTTCCACTCCCCTCTCTCCTTTAGACACAGATGAGAACCTAGAGAAGAGACAGAAATGGAGTACTGTGGTCAAAATTCTGATTGCTGTCACCCTGTTGCTCAGTGGAGTTGCCATTATAGTATTTGTAATTTTTGAAGTCCCATGCCCTGTAAGTTTGCTGTTGTATTGAATCCTTGAACTTGACCTATAAAGACTTTCTTCTGTTCCAGAGGCAGCTTGGCATAAGGAGAAAAGCAGACTTTGGAATTTGAGTAGATCTGCCACTCACACTCACTAGCTGAGTGGTTTGGGGAAAGTTGCTTGACTTTTCTAACCTCAGGGCCTCATGTGTAAAATAAGTCTCATGATATTTGCCTCTCATGCTAGTTATAAAGATTGAGATCCTGTGTGAAAGGCACCTGGCACATAGGTGCTCGCTAAATGCAAGTTCCTTTCCTCTGCTGTACTTAGACATTTTCTAGGAAGGATAGGTCCATAGGACTGAACATTTTATTTAGAAGAGATGACTTCCTTTAAGTTGCCCAACATGAGGTTTGGAAGAAAACCAAATGCTTAGCAGCCACTTGATATTAATACCGGTCATTTTCTCCCTTCAGTGTCAATGCCTAGGAGCCAGGGAGCTGTGCCAATGCCAGCGGTTGTGGAGATGGCAAAGGAAGGGAGGCCAGCCACCTGGGACAGCTGAATTCAAGCTTGACTCTCAGCCTCAGAAGGAAAGTGTTCTCTGTGTGGTTTATGTCATTTGCTTAAAGAAGGTGGGGTAGAGGCTGGGCGTGGTGGCTCACGCCTGTAATCCCAGCACTTTGAGAGGCCGAAGCAGGTGGATCACCTGAGGTGATTGAGACCAGCCTGACCAACATGATGAAACGTCTCTACCAAAAATACAAAAATTAGCCAGGCATGGTGGCACATGCCTGTAGTCCCAGCTACTCGGGAGGCTGAGGCAGGAGAATCACTTGAACCTGGGAGGCGGAGATTGCAGTGAGCCGAGATTGTGCCACTGCACTCCAGCCTGGGCAACAGAGTAAGACTCTGTCTCAAAAAAAAAAAAAAAAAAGGAAAGAAAGAGAAAAAGAAAAGAAAATGGGGTTAATATATAAGTGATAGGAGATTCGCCCCTAAGAAGACTGTGAAAAATATATATTTTTAATGTGCTAGGAACAGGGAGCTGCTTCAGTTATGAAGCAAATGTGGGCAATCCTTCTTATATCAGGAAATAGGTAGGATTTTATACTACTGTTTTCCTAACATCAGTCCAGCCATAATACAATAGGGTGCTTATTGAATACACATACCTCTGGGCCCCATATAAACTGAATCAGATGATTTAGATTGGAGCCAAGAATCTTTTAAGATTTTTAAGGCCAGGCCTGATTTATCATGCCTGCAATCCCAGTGCTTTGGGAGGCAGAGGCAGGAAACTTGCTGGAGTCCAGGAGTTTGAGACCAGCCTAGGCAACATAGCGAGACACTGTCTCTATAAAAAAAAATATATATATATACGTGTATATATACATGTATATATAACAACAAAAAACATGTGTATATATGTGTGTGTGTGTGTGTGTGTGTGTATAGCCAGCTGGGCCGGGCACGGTGGCTCACGCCTGTAATTCCAACACTTTGGGAGGCCAAGGCAGGTGGATCACGAGGTCAAGAGATCGAGACCATACTAGCCAACATGGTGAAACCCTGTCTCTACTAAAAATACAAAAATTAGCTGGGCATGGTGGCACGCACCCGTAGTCCCAAGCTACTCGGGAGGCTGAGGCAGGAGAATTGCTTGAACCCAGGAGACGGAGGTTGCGGTGAGCCGGGATTGTGCCACTGCACTCCAGCCTGGGTGACAGAAAAAGACTCCATCTCAAAAAAAGGAAAAAAAAAAAAAAAAAGAAAAAAAAAAAGCCAGCTGGTAGTACGTGCCTGTAGCCCTAGCTTCTTGGGAGGCTGAGGTGGGAGGGGATCACTTGGGCTCAGGAGCTGAAGTCTGCAGTGAGCTATGATTGAGCCACTGCACTCCAGCCTGGGAAAGAGAGTGAGACCCTGCCTCAAAAACAAAAGAACATTATCATTTCTCCTGAGCATTGGAAGAAATAGGCCTGAAGGAAAGTACAAAGTCTAGTTCAGAATTAGAATTAGAGATAACCATGGAGCTGCAACTATGATTGAACTTCTATGAACATAATAAGCTACTATATGATAAAGGAATAAAAATAGGGCCAGGCGCGGTAGCTCACGCCTGTAATCCCAGCACTTTGGGAGGCCAAGGTGGGCAGATCATGAGGTCAGGAGTTCGAGACCAGCCTGACCAACATGGTGAAACTCCGTCTCAACTAAAAATACGAAAAATTAGCCGGGTGTGGTGGCACATGCCAGTAATCCCAGCTACTCAGGAGGCTGAGGCAGGATAATCGCTTGAACCTGGGAGGCAGAGGCTGCGGTGAGCTGAGATCACACCACTGCACTGCAGCTTGGGTGACAGAGCGAGACTCCAACTCAAAAAAAAATAAAATAGTACTAAGATAGCAATTTTATATACATTATCTCATTTGAGCCTTACATAAATCCTGGAAAGTAGCCAGGGCAAGCATCTACATTTCACTCATACTTAAGCTGAGGCTTTAAGAGGTTATGTGACTTCCCAAGGTTACACAGCTGGTAGAACAGAACTATGATCCAGATCTTTTAATTACTTTGCTAGTGGGTTATAGGTTCCAAGCAAGTATAGGTTCTCATACCTATGTGCACCTTGATCATACTTTCTCAGTGTAATTATTGATTAATGAAGAGGCAAAATGAAGTGCACTTGGAATTACACGGGGTTTTGTACTTAGCCAGCCCTTTTCTTGGTACATGAAGAACTATATACACTTGCATCCTTTTTTAACTTTCGTATTTCCTTTCAATCTCTAGGTTGGACGAGATGCTGCCAATTCATCAGACCCAAAGAAAGCTGCAGGGATCACTGTTATCCACCAGACATACTTCTAAAAAGTTCTGCTGTATCTCAAACACTGAATGATACTACACAGTCTTCTCCCTATTAATATGGGCACATTCTTGCCAATTTCACACTCATATCTTCAGCAGGGACATTACAATCAAACACCAATTCCTGGTTAATGAAGGGAGAGTGTGGGCTTAGCAGAGTTACCCTCATGCCTCTGTCTGAGCCACAACCTTCTGTAATTCACTTCACACATCCATCAATATGGATATCTTTCCATCCCCTCAGATGAGAACAAAAAGCGTTCCCTTCAAGCACTGTGAATGGACCTTATTGCTCTCTTTGACAGAAGACTCAAACACAGCCTCCAAGGAACAAGGCAGCTGTTAGTGGGACATAGCTTCCAACTCCTCTGTTATCTTCACAGCTGACTTCACGCTCATTGGTCCTCAACTAGCTTACAGTGGGACTCCTCATCTCCCTGGTTGACGTTCATAAGGTTTTGTAATTTAGCTTCTGGTACTACATGTACCTATCCACTGGTATTACATGTACCTATCCACACATTGCTGAAGGAAACTTGACCCTATGCATTCCAAATGTCTTCCTCATAAGTTATCCCCAAGGGGTTCAGGGACTACAGACCATTAGTAGCCAAGAGAAGTTTTCTGACGATCCAGAATTCCTAAGGTGGCTCTGATGTTATATCACACTTTAACAGAAAGCTGCATACCTTTTGGACAAGGATTCCAGAGCAAAATAATTATGATAATGCTGTTTCTCACAGAAGCATAGCTATGAGTCAAATCTAACCTGCTTAAATAAGAGTTCGGTGAGAAAGTGAAAGTGAAACCACCTGATCTTGAATCAATGTTCAGGTGAAAAAGGAAATGTCAGGAGGGATAAGACAGGGTGAGGCCCTGCTTCTTTTCCTAAGAGTCTGAAACCGTTCCATTTCATTTCGGTGAAACGTGTCTGTTTCTAAGTAATTCCGTTTTCTTAGTTCTCTGGAAAACAAACAAACAAAACAAAACAAAACATAAAACTGTATCCTTCTTTCTTTCACTTCAAGTGCTGTCCAAAAAGTGATTATCAAAACAATACCAACAGGGGAAAATCTCACCCTAAGGCTCGATTTAATATTCAAGTCCAGTCTGAAAGAGACAACAGATACAAAGCATGGATAATGAGGACACGTTTCAAAGAAGCTCCGAAGAACCTCTAGGGTCGGGCGCGGTGGCTCACACCTGTAATCCCAGCACTTTGGGAGGCCAAGGTGGGTGGATCACCTGAGGTCAGGAGTTTGAGACCAGCCTGGCCAACATGCTGAAACCCCATCTCTATTAAACACACAAAAATTAGCCGGGCATGGTGGAGGGCACCTATAATCTCAGCTACTGGGGAGGGGGAGGCAGGAGAATCGCTTGAACCTAGGAGGTAGAGGTTGCAGTGAGCCGAGATCTTGCCACTGCATTCCAGCCTGGGCAACAAGAGCAAAACTCCATCTCAAAAAAAAAAAAAAAAAAAAAGGAACCTCTGTATTTCCATAGAGCACACCTTGAAAATATGATAGACAGGAAAGAACACTGAGGTTGGCATTTGGATGAATGAGTATATTATTTGCATCCTGCCACTGATCCACAATGTTGCCTCAAGTTTATTTTACCATCTGTGACTTAGTTTGACAATAAAATAGGAAGAAAAAAAAATGCCTGCTCTTTCCCAAGACCACTGGTGAAGATGATTAAAAACATTAAATGCTCAGAAGTTCTTGGTCCAGAACTAATGCCTACACGCATCCTCACCCTTCCCAGCCTCATCCACCACTGAATGTCCCTTAATCCTGAAACATGAGATTTCCCAGGAGATAAAACCTATGGCAAAATCTGCACTCATCAACTCCTCTAACTCTTCTTGGAGCCCGGGCACAGTGGCTCAAGCCTGTAATCCTAGCACTTTGGGAGACCAAGGTGGACAGATGGCTTGAGGCCAGGAGTTTGAGACCAGCCTGGACAACATGGTGAAACCCGTCTCTACTACTACTAAAAATACAAAAATTAGCCAGGCATGCTGGTGCACACCTATAATCTCAGCTACTCCAGAGGCTGAGGCATGAGAATTGCTTGAACCTGAGATTGAACGACTGCACTCCAGCCTGGGTGACAGAGCGAGACTCTGTCTCAAAAAAAAAAAAAAAAAAAGTATAATTTGGGTAACATTTGTACTGACTCTATAGAAATTCACAGACAGAATCAAAATTATTTTGCTTTGGGGACAATTTGTTTCCCCTGACAAAGCATAGACCCCTCAGAGGATTTTCTGACTCCCTAATCAGTTAATAACTTCGAGTCCTATATTCCCTTACTAGTGAAGATCTTTAAAAACAGAGATGGGAGAGAAGGCAGAGGAGAAAGGAGAACTCCTGTGTGGGCTTTGGGATGTGGACTTCAGTCTGCAGATCACTTCAGAGCTGGGCACCATTTCTAGTGTCACCATTATAGACCAAGTTACACACAACTTAATAAAACACTGTTTCTGTGGAAGTGCCAATTATTCCTGTGGAATTATTCACTGTTTCGTTTCTTTTTCTTTTTTTGAGATGGAGTTTTGCTCTGTTGCTCAGGCTGGAATGCAATGGCACAATCTCGGCTCACTGCAACCTCTGCTTCCTGGGTTCAAACTATTCTCGTGCCTCAGCCTCCCGAGTAGCTGGGATTACAGGCATGTGCCACCACACCCAGCTAATTTTTGTATTTTTAGTAGAGATGGGGCTTCACCATATTGGTCAGGCTGGTCTTGAACTCCTGACCTCAAGCGATCCACTCGCTTCGGCCTCCCAAAGTGCTGGGGTAAAAGCTGTTTCTATTGCAAGTTCTTTCTTATTAAGCTACCACACTGTTTTTATAATTATTAAAATATGTTCTCAGCTGGGCACAGTGGCTCACGCCTGTAATCCCAGTACTTTGAGAGGCCGAGGCGGGCGGATCACAAGGTTAGGAGATTGAGCCCATCAAGGCTGACACGGTGACACTCCGTCTCTACTAAAAAAAAAAAAGAAAGAAAAAGAAAAAAAATTAGCTGGCTGTGGTGGCGGGCGCCTATAGTCCCAGCTACTTGGGAGGCTGAGGCAGAAGAATGGCGTGAACCCGGGAGGTGGAGCTTGCAGTGAGCCAAGATCATGCCACTGCACTCCAGCCTGGGCGACACAGCGAGACTCCATCTCAAAAAAAAAATAATAACAACAAAATAAAGTACATTCTCATTATAAAAACTTTTAGAAAATACTCAAAAGTATAAAGAATAAAAGTAATACTTAATCTCTCTTCCCAGAGATAATCATTAACACTGGTTAATATGTAATCAGTGGTTAATATATCTCTTTATGGACATTATAAATATATATACACAGATAATAAAAAGACACATACAAAACTTCATATTCTTCACACCGCTTTAAATCTGTTTCGTTGGCTGGGTGCGGTGGCCTATGCCTGTAATCCCTGCACTTTGAGAGGCCAAGGTGGGTGGATCACTTGAGTCAGGAGTTTGAGACCAGCCTGGTCAAAATAGTGAAACACCATCTTTACTAAAAATACAAAAAATGAGTTGGGCATGGTGGCAGGCACCTGTAATCCCAGCTACTCGGGAGGCTAAGGCAGGAGAATCGCTTGAATGCAGGAGGCAGAGGTTGTGGTGAGCTGAGATTGTGTCACTGCACTCTAGCCTGGGTGACAAAGCCAGACTCTATCTCAAAAAAAAAAAAAAAAAAAACAACAACAACAAAAAACCTGTCTCTTCTTGGCTAATATGTTACTACTACATTTCCAGAAGTTGTGTTTATTTTCAAGTTTTAGAGGTGACTAGAAGCTGTTCCACCTTTTTAAAAATTTTTATTTTTTGAGATGGAGTTTCATTCTTGTGGCCCAGGCTGGAGTGCAATGGCATGATCTTGGCTCACCGCAACCTCTGCCTGCTGGGTTAAAGCAATTCTCCTGCCTCAGCTTCCCAAGTAGCTGGGATTACAGGTGCACACCCCCACACTCGGCTAATTTTTGTATTTTTAGTAGAGATGAGGTTTCACCATGTTGGTCAGGCTGGTCTCGAATTCCCAACCTCAGGTGATCTGCCCACCTCGGCTTCCCCAAGTGCTGGGATTACAGGCGTGAGCTACCGCGCCCTAAGAGTCAATGTCACCCCAATACTTTTTGATAGGCCCAAAAATTAAGATAGGTAGTTGTGTAGGGCAAAGAGGTACATTCACAAAAACCTCCAATTTAAACTTTTTAAGTTATTGCTGAATGACATTAAGTAAACAGCCATATTTGCATGTATATTAAAAGCATTACTTTGTTAAACAGAAACAGTTAAAATATACAACAGCCAGGCGTGGTAGCTCACGCCTGCAATCCCAGCACTTTGGGAAGCCGAGTTGGGTGGATCATCTGAGGTCAGGAGTTTGAGACCTGCCTGGACAACATGGTGAAACCCCGTCTCTACCAAAAATAAAAACTTAGCCAGGTGTGGTGGTGTGCGCCTGTAATCCCAGCTACTCGGGAAGCTGAGGCAGGAGAATCCCTTGAACCCGGGAGGTAGAGGTTGCAGTGAGCTGAGATGGCACCACTGCACTCCAGTCTGGGTGACAGAGTGAGACTCCATCTCAAAAAAAAAAAAAAAAAAAAAAAAGATAAATATAAATAAAATATAGAACATATTGTATATCTCTGTTTTGCCATTTCTTCATTTTTTAGATAAACCTGTAATCTAAAAAATCAAAGTGACCTGGGACTTTGGATCTCTGAAAGGCCTGAACAAGCCATTAACATCCTTCCTTTTCTGTATTCCCAGGCTAGTGCAACAGTGGTTTCAGGGATGGTACTGGCCTTAACCATTATTTCCTCATATTTCCTACCCTCTCCTATTAATATTTTAGATGCTTTCTAATCACTGTCCAGCAGATTCTGACCTAGAGCACTTTTCCTATGTCTATATCCATAACTGTCCATTTTCCAAGGAAGAGTTGCTGCATGTACTTATGACTAAAGGCCAGAAGAAATCCTTTTATTTTTTGTTTGCCCTGGACAGGCTGAGAGTCCTATGATCCCTTCCTTCCCAACCCACTGATACTCCATTCCCACTCTCAAAAAGTATTCCATTTTCTGAGTTGACACAAT